CCTGTTTAAAATTGACAAAACGTTTCAAAATAACAACTTGACAAAATGGTTTTCATCCTATCTCAGCTGCTGTCAGCAGTTTGTTCAAATAAAAAATAAACAGTCTAGAGCAGTTGCAGTTATTTCCGGAGTTCCCCAGGGGAGCGTGCTGGGTCCCCTTTTATTTTTGTTATATATAAATGACCTACCAAACCGGGTTACGGTCCCGATAAGGTTGTTCGCCGACGACTGAGTTGTTTATAGCAGAATCGAGACTGAACATGACCAAGTTAATCTAAACAACAATCTTCAAAGAATAAAGGATTGGTGCGAAGAATGGCAAATGAGTTTGAACACAGAAAAAAACAGTCTTTATGACTATAACTAGAAAGAAAGCACCTCTAGATTACAACTACCAGATTGGCAATGCTTTCCTTAAGCGTGTACAAAACTATAAATATCTTGGGTTATGGTTCACGCCCGACCTCCGGTGGAACACTCATATTGATAATGTATGCTCCAGGGCTACCAAGGCACTGTATAGCCTTAGACGTAACCTTTATACCGCCCCATCTGATATAAAGTGTCTTGCTTGCAAAACCCTTGTCAGACCTATTATCGAATATTCTAGAATTGTCTGGGACCCTTCATCAAAGACAAACTGCAATAAAATAGCAAAAATACAGCAACTTGGTGCGAGATTTATTTTTAATAAATATCGCCGACATCATTCACCTACTGAACTTTGTAAAAAAGCTGGACTGGATAGTCTTGAACTTAGGACGAGGATTGAGCGTCTGAAATTCCTCTTCCAGTTAATTCATAATCATTTTAAACTAAACTATTCAGATTGCTTCAGGGTCAACACACAAGAACACTCCAGACATCGCCATAATATGTACATATCACCCCTAGTCCCGCGTAACGATTGCTTTAAGTTTAGTTACTTTCCACGTGCTATTGAAGATTGGAATATGCTGCCAGAGTCTATAATTGGTTGTTCCTCGCTTACATAATTTGAACAGAATCTATAACGTTTATTTTCTGAATGACAGTGGTGTGCGTGTGTACTTTTTGTTGGTTGCATGAGACTGTAGTAGTTGTCTTTCAAATCTTCAGCGCGGTGCAAAAGTGCCGCCTCAAATGCATCATGTGCTGTTCTGCGCGTATGTATTGCATTGCATGTGTGTTCCATTTCTTGTTATGTATAACTTCGAGTTGCTGCTCACAATAATACCGAAAAATTTTCTCGAGACCTGTACGGTACTTCTTTTTCGCAAATAATTGTTTGTACTTCCACCCTTTAACGGCCCACTTCTGGGCTAAGAGTATAAATAAATGAAATGAAATGAACATACTAGAAAACCTAACATGCGATTCCTCTAATGTGGTATATCTACTCGAATGCAACGTGTGCAGTGTACAGTACATCGGACAAACAGAAACACCATTCAGGATTCGCTTCAATATTCACAGAGGCCATGCGAAATCAGCCCCAAATCTACCCCTATCAAAACATCTCAATCTTTCCGACTATGCATTCGACAAACTATCAGTAACGCTCTTAGAGACAGGATTTAAATCAAACCGAGAACGTGAACAACGAAAGTCATACCTTATTCACCATTTTAACACCCTCGATAAAAGAATAAATGAGAATCCGGGTACACATACAGCAATTAAAGCATTAGAAAACAATAACGGCAATAATGAAAAAAATAACTGAGTGCATGACACTGCAGCTGCGAAGGGCACTGGACAACTCAAAATAATTCCAAGTGTAACTACTCTTCCTAAGTACAGCTGTCATCAATTTCTGTTTTTCCCTTACTATTTAATCAATTGTGCCAAGTATGACATGCGCTACAGCAACCCTGTGCACAGTCGGGCGGCCCCTACTGCACGCGTAATGCAGTAGCGGGCAAGAATTGCCATTGCACCCGCTTGCCAGCCTCGGCGGCAATACGCGGCGCCCCTATTTCTATGACGAGATTTCGACGGGGTGCTCAGTAGCTAAAGGCTTAAACTTATTAAAAAGCTTGTTTTCCCCCACACTGAACCGCCAGGGCCAGGAGGCGCCATCTGGTCGAGAACAATGCGTTAGTAACAGGAAGGATACACAGACCGCAAACATCCTAAAGGTGAAAATGAGAAAGGGGAGAGAGATGTAGGGGCAAGGAGAACGAACAGTGAAAGGGGGTGCCCGGGGAGTCCACCTTATATTCTCCTTTTTTCTTTTTCTTCTTTTTGCTTTTTTTCGTCGTCTTTTTTGTTTTTTTCTTCTTTCTCTCTTTCACCCTATGATTAAAGATTGTATAAAGCTGAGCACCAATTATGTACCCTCAATCCTGATGAAGGCCTGACTCTAGGCCGAAACGTCGAAATAAACCACGTTGTGAGCGCTCACGGAGGATCTACTTGACTATTTGCAACGTTACGGCCACTGAATCACCATGCCTGCCTATATATATATATATATATATATATATATATATATATATATATATATATATATATATATATATATATATATATATATATATATATATATATATATATATATATATATATATATGTATATATACATATATATATATATATATATATGTATATATACATATGGTAGAAAAAGAGGTCGACAAACGTGCGAAAAAACACAAATTTACTAACGTTTCGGCAGGTGGGCCTGGGCCTGCCTTCGTCGTATATATATATATATGTATATATATATGTGTGTGTGTGTGTGTGTGCGTGTGCGTGTGCGTGTGCGTGTGCGTGTGCGTGTGTGTGTGTGTGTGTGTGTGTGTGTGTGTGTGTGTGTGTGTGTGTGTGTGTGTGTGTGTGTGTGTGTGTGTGTGTGTGTCCACCAGTACACGCATTTAAGGCAACCGTAACCGCCCCTTTAACAATGCAATGCCCCTTAGAACAGCCGCTATGTTTGCGCCGTGCCTTTTTTGTCCAACTACTTTTGACTTGAACTAGTTTTCATACCTCATGCCGTCGAAAAGGTGAAACTTACAGTGCGCATTAGTACAGAGGCACGCTATATTCAGCTTCGCCAACTGTCAACGTTCGCCGAAGGGCTACCCAGGATTTATTTTTTTTTTGCAGCAGAACGACTAACTTTGCCAATTGGTGATCGTTGTGAATACGAGTAAGTATTTTAGTAAACCCTGAAAAGTTACACTACGAAAAAATTTCGTGGTGTAAGGGGTTCAGATTCCCTCCTCGCCCCTCTCTACTTACGGGCTCCTGGTTCTGCGTGCGTTCGACACGGTATTTTTTTTTCATCTCACAGCTTACTGAGCCCAGCTAACTTTAATAAATCGACTCAGTTATTCTTAATAATGTAGACACCTGCTCAACAAAAAAAAAGTTGAGAAAAGAAATAAAAATAAGACACGCCCTTTCTAAATAGTTTCGATCTCTCACAAAAATTTTTATGGATCTCGAATTCAGTAGGTTGGCGTGTCATACTTCAAGGGTTATAATATCATGTGCTACACACGAATGATGGGCAGGTACGAAGAAATCAGCATTAAAAATGCGCACCGGAGAAACCGGAGCACAAAACAGTTCCTGCGCGCGGCGAGCAGCTCTTTCATTACTATTCGACTGCAGCGCAGCCGCTGCGGGCAACGCGGAAGGCACGAGGCGGCGAGGCACGGTCACGCCACTCAACACTTCTAGTACACTCTATCTACGTCGTCTCCAGCATAGCCATGTTGTATTTCAAGGTAACATACGTAGTGATGGCGTTCTAAAGGTCTTGTATTCGACGTCAACGTACACGCACAGCATGTCAGCGACGGTCTTGTTTGGCCGCTCAGTGAGGCCACTGGCATGAGGGATATGCGCTGTCACGCGGAGTTGGCTTGTCTGGCTGTATGCCAAGATCGCCACATTATTTATTTAGCTGCTTTGGCCTTAAGTGCTACAGTTGGAGTTTGTGACCATCCTTTGTACATGCCTCCATCCGCATTTTTTTTCGTGTAGCCCTGCAATATGTGCTCAGTAAACGCTAAAAGCTTGGGCGCTAATTTTTTTGCTCCACCCCGAACTTTGACCCAAACCACTGGACATTCTTTACATTTTTCGCTGACGCTATGTCTCGCAGGATGTCACCATGTACACGGCTGTGTATGTCATCACAAGTTTTCTTCCAGAGCCTTCGCAAAATCAAGAAAGCATGCGCTGCTGAAGGAAATCTGTTGCATGGCTGACGGTCCTCATGAACTGTCACGTGGGCGATGAACCAACGCCTTCATTTGAAGATGCCACAAAAAACCTTAGTCAACTCTTGTATATTCTCACCTGTCTCTGCCACTCTGGGTGCATGAGCTTGCAGATCATGGGGCCCTGCCCAGAAAACCGCGTGTAGCCACCGAGTAACGATCGCGCCTCTGGGTGGATGCCCTCTTCGATGGATGCTGGAGCTAAGCATGCGAGTTTCGCAGGTCGCCGAGAATTTGCGTGTAACAACATGCCTATTTTCTATAAATCTAGTTTAGTATTGTTTCTCGGCGGACAAGTTGGCTTGGTAGCATTTTAACAAAATCGCTTTGAAGGTAGCACGGTCCTCGGCCGCTTGTTTGACAAAATGGCTTGATTATTACTCGAAGATCTCCCCATTAATTAGGAGGATGACACATGAGTGAACATCTGTCACCAGCAGCGACCGTGAAATAAAATCAGTTTCTGGATTTGTATAGTTGTAAACCGTTAGTGATTTGCACTTTTCGACACGTGGACGAAATATTTGAACAGGTCTTTATTTTCGTGTGTATTATTTAACCTTCATGTCCTGTGGTCTATGAAAACCATTACTGAGACAGCGCTCTAATGTGTGCCTATCGTGCTCTTGTCTTTTTGCAAGGCTTTTTTTCTTGACGATGGTGACAAACAGCCGTTAAGAATACTGATATTTAATGAGACACCGGGAGCTGTCGATAAAAAACACCTGATATACACAGTTGATTGATTTGTGGGGTTTAACGTCCCAAAACTGATATACACATTACCTGATATTGTGTAAAATGTTAAGATGTAGGTGGTGATCAAGGTGGCGAGGGGCAGAAGGAACATGGAGACAAGTGAGAAGCTGGTGTACAGCTGCTCCTGCCACTGAGCCGAGTAGAAACCATAAGTGACGCACTGGTAGAACTCCTCGGCAAACGGGCCCCGCTGGACACGGAAGATGAACACCTGCGCAATCACGACAGGAATGAGAGTAAAAAAAGTCATTCTTTTTGCACAGGCTAAGCAATCAATCTGACACCAACAGATTAGACTATCACACAAAGCACGGCAAGCATCTAAAGGAGCAATGCGAGCGGCATTGAACATGAGCATGATAAGCAGGCAAGACTAATTTTCTGAGTAGTTGTCGGACTCTTATGAACAGGTTCAATAACTACATACGACAAGTGGCGTGTAAAACGAAGGGTTTCATAAGCAACAGCTCCATGGCGTGATGACTGCAAGTGCTTCCCGTGAGCAGAGCACTCTCGTTCCTGAAGTACAAGATGGGTTACAGTGACGTGAGGTATGCAACACCCCTCCGTAACAGCCTTACCACGGCGGTCTAGTGGCTAAGGTACACGGCTGCTGACCCGCAGGTCGCGGCATCAAATCCTGGCAGCGGCGGCTGCATTTCCGATGGAGGCGGAAATGTTGTATGTCCGTGTGTGCTCATATTTGGGTGCAAGGTAAAGAACCCCAGGTGGTCAAAATTTCTGGATCACCTCACTACGGCGTCTCTCATAATCTTATGGCGGCTTTGAGACGTTTAACGCCACACAAAAAACAATCAATCAATGAAGCGCCTTCGTAATAGTGTTCCAACCGGGCGACTGCGGTATAATACCATGTTTCATTTTTAATGGCACCGAGCGCTGTCGATATGTGTGCGAGAGATCCTAGTCAGAAAAGCCAGTGCGCGCTTGAAACAGCGTGAGTACAATTTAGTAAAGGAGCAAAAAAATCATTCTCAAGGACATCTGAACGGAGACCGTCATGTGGGGGCGCAGGCCACAACCAGATTGTGCATGGGCAACATGCGGTTCGCGAGCCACTCGTCTGACGCCACTGCTGCTATAGAGGCGTGCCTGTCCACACGGAAAGCTGCACCTTGGCTTCACTTGTATATAAGTCACGTGTTCAAAACATCCCCCGCCAGCTGCAATTTCAAAATTGCAGCCAAGCAGTTGACCTGAATTATACAGTGACCGCTAAGGCGCAATCAAAAACTACTCCCGCCGCACTCCGAAACTCCCAGCGTCTACATCGGCACGTTCCTCAAGAGCCTTGGGTTGATTCGTAATACCATTGCCAATAAGATTGAAAATAGATGGAGGTGCAGCAGCAGCGAGCCGGCGTTCCTCACCGAATCACAGCCGAGTCAATTCATCACCTTCACCTATGTGAAAGAAACAGCTTTAAAAGTACTATGACGTCTGGGTTGAGACAGCGTTTATTCAACGCAAGCGCCCAGCAGCCAACGGGCAGTCTGAGACTGAGCGCGCACACACAAAATGATGACTGAGGTGACACCCATGGAAGATGAGGACAGAGACCCAGACGGATGATGATGATTATGATAATTCATATATGAGAATAAGCGCATAACGAATGCCGACAGTATAAACATTTATTTTGTGTCCTGCATGAAAAACGAAAAAGTGGTACCAAAAAAAAGTCCAGAAAATGGAACGCATTCTCTCTATTGGTTAACCATTTGGTAGTGTGATGAAGACAACGCATTTTCCTAATTTATTAGCGCTTGCAGGCACCAGTGTCACCGGCGGTAAACAACAGTCCTGATGATCGGCTTTTGTTGCCAAAATCGGCTTTTATTATAAGAGTGTCTGCGTTCAAAAAAAAAAGCAGCTTGATAGTTGTTGCTCACCGCTCAACGCAATAGAAACACGATAACGCACACAGGTGGAGCGCAGGAGGAGCACACAGGAGGAGTGCCACAGGTCGACCATTGCAGAGCGCTGCTCCAACAAAAGAAAGGATGCTTGAAACGAACTCACCCGTATACACAGAATGAACACAAATTAAGAAGCGTCACAGTAGTTCCTCATTTGCGTTTCAGTAGCACACAACAACTCAACCTCTGATATTACGCGATATTGGAAAAGCGCACGCTTCGCAAGATTTACGGCATCGTTAATTGTTAGCGAAAAATGATTGTCTCATGCGTGACCGAAAAATCTAAGTACTTGTAAATAACGTAAATAAAAAAATTCTGGGCCTGAGTGAGAACCGAATCTAGGCCATTACGTCGGAAGCAGGTGTTCTGCATCACAGCCGCGCATCTGCTTGGATATGCAGTGGAAATAGAACTTACTCGGAAATCTACTGAAAATAACATCCATGCTTTACAAACACACACGCGTCCTACATACCGGCTTCACAATACAACATTTTACGTTGCAGTAACACAGTGCGGTGCAAGCGTACATTGCCGTCAATCGTGAGAACATGTAATTATTATAATGGCTTCGTGAATTAAAGCCAGCCACTAAATACAAAAATTTTCGTACACACATTTGTTCCATTAAGCGTGTGCTTTATAATCTAGATAGCTCTAGGAACGCGCAGATGCGCGCACGCGCCCCTTATCATGTCACCTGACATATGTGTATACTAACCATCACGACTAACAATAAACAGAGTTTTTCGATATACTGAGTCGGTGTAGTCACTTCGCGGTCCTGAAGCTTTCTGACGTAGATCGGCAGGGTACGGTAGCGTATACAAGTTGGCAACGCGAGGTGAACTGACCGAAAGCTGAAGCAATAAGCCTGCACCAACGGTCCTGGTTCCTGCCGACACTGGCGAAGCCTGCCCTTACATGGACACAGTGGCACTGCCTTTTGAAGAATTATGTCCTGACATCGGGGAGTGACGCTGAATCATATGCTTGTCGTACAGCTCTGCTGTTGCACTGCTTCAAGGTGGAAAGCCAGTACTACGCATCACCATATAGAGAGGGAAAAACGCCTACTTATGGAATGAACGTCATTTTGGAACGGTACTGGTTTAGAAAGCACACCCAACTGCCTAGGCAGACCGCTGCAGCATTCGTCATGACACTGAGCGAGTTCACTATGACCAGCCACTTCGGTGAACAAACTGACGACTTAAATCTCAACCAGCTTGTAGCGAAAATGACCAACCATGTTCCTCGGGAATGCGTACTTTTGGAAGGAACCTCGCTTACACTTCAACATGTACTATCTCTAACAGCATTGAAGAAGCCGCGAAATACTCACTTGAGCTACACTAATCAACTGCGAGCATCCAAAAGGTGGATAAACATCAGAATTCACTGCCGCACAGAAGCACGGAATGCAGGTTTTGTTGCGGGTCTTCATGGCATCTCGCAGATTCCGAAACATGCATGGCGCAGGATAAAACATGAAGCAAGTGCGGCAAACGGGGACATTTCCAGCATTAATGTTAGAGCGGCATGCCATAAAAGCGGGCAGTTGCTGCCCAAAAGGTGGATACCTGAAATACACCTGAAGACCTCAACGTGTTGCTTCTTGCCCGGCAGAACAAAAGAGCAATACATGTGGACGCCCTTGTGCAGGACGTGTCCGTATACGCCTCCTCGTAGACACAGGCATTGCTGTCTCGATTGTGTTGGCCGTCACGTATTCGAGGCTAAGATTTCCTCCTGAGCAGCCCACCTCAGCGACACTGTACGACTTTTATAATTGCAAGAGAATCATCTAGGCGTGTTTTACGGCCCCAGCCGCCTTCCAAGGTCGGCACACTGAGATACTTCTATACATCTTTCAAAAGCGGTATCAAACTTCTCGGCTTCGACACTATCAAAGCCCTGCGGCTGCACATCAGTGGTATGTCACTGCAATGAACTAAAAGTGCGCAAGCGTCCCAAGGTCTTGATCCTGAACTCATCGGCGAATTTTTGAAATTGTTTTATCGGAAGTTAGGACTAGCAGCAAATCTCATTCATAAGACCAAAAGAAAAAAAAGGAGTCACGCCTGTCGTTGCTAAGCTAGTGCCAGTTTGCCATTTTTAAAGCGACACGCGCTTCGTGAAGAGCCGTAGCGCCTCAGTGAGCAGAGTGATGTGATAAAAAGGTGGATGCGTCAGAATGAGAATCACCCATTGTAGAAGTAGCAAAGAAAAATGCAAGCATTTGCCTCCATCTACGCGAACCGAACAAAGCCGTTGCCATTGACAAATTTCCTTTGCCTCACACAGAACTGTAGCACAATCTTAGCGGTGCAAAGTATTTTTCGAAGATTGATTTGGCAGCCGCGTACAACCGAGTCCTTCAGAGTCCTGAAAGTAGAAAATTGACTACTTTCATAACTGCCTCTTGAAAGGCATCGGCTCCTCAGGACAATTAGTGAATAAAGTTCGTTGACTTACTGATAATGAGTTCTATCGTTTCAAAAGTGTCTGTTCTGGCCTTGCATTAGCACCGCATGCTTTACAGAAATTTATGGCCATCATTTTGAAGAAATTCAAAGATAGTTTGTGCTACAGAGTTGATGTGATAGTGCTTGGCAGCACGTCTGAGGAGCATTTACACAACCTGAAGCAAGTCTTGCGCTAGAATGCGTAGTCCGTATTGAAGCTGAATTACGAATGAGTTTTCAATGTTCAGAAAACAATTCCCAGGGCACACAATAAGACATCAGAGTATACAGCCACTACAAAGCAACATTCATTTCATAAGGTCTGCGCACCAAGGAAAAGCAGTATACCCTGCGCTCATTCTTAGGACATGATTGGCTATTACGCAAAGTTCGTACCTGACTGCAGTGCTTGTTGAGCCTATTCATGAGATCGTACGTAAGAATTCCACCTTTATTCTAGAATTTCGCGAGACAAGCTTGTTTCTAGCAGCTGAAAAGTACCTTGTCCACAAGACACCTACAGCTTTTCCATCCTGTTGGTGACGTTATCGTTACTAAGGGCGTCTAATCTATCGAGTTAATCAGGAGCAGTGTTGCAAGCGACAACAAATGACGAGCTACTAACATTTTCATTTGCTTCTAGCAAGATTACCCTACAAAGACATAAGTACTTTGTTGATGAACTGGAACCCTTTGCGTGCTTGTAGGCATGTGAACACTGCGGAGTGAACCTCTGGGGTCATCCATTCTGTTTGCGCACCATCCAACAGGCTCTGACTACACTCCTAAGTACAAACGGA